GGGGGGGGGGGGGGGGGGGATTCTCTCCGTCTATGGTGGTTACATCCCTGTGCAAAATAGACACTTGCTAAATAAGAGTAAGGGACGTAAGAATTATGATAACTGCAAAGTTTTAATAATCATTCTAAATGTATGAGAATCAGAAAGTTTCCACACTAAAACAGTAACGACACAGAGGAACGTTATCGGTGGAATCACTTTTTATATATATATATATAGTCTGGATATGCATGGTTAAATAATTTTTATTAGTGACAACATTTGATTTGGGAGCTAGGTTATGTGGATGAAACTAATTCTAGATGATTTTGGATGGATTCTATGGAATGTGGCGTACTTCGCTACAGATGAGACCTGGATGGTAGTTGAACACTTGAACACGTTTTAAAAATTGTTTACTTTCTTCCCCTTTGTGAGTAATTTTCCCTTTTTAAGAAGGTTGAGAAAAATGTGCGTTCCCTACACCATAAATGCGATGAGCTGCACAGTATAGCAGTGAAAAATAATTCAGCTGTTGTTGCCGAGACTTGGTAAATGTTGATATTCCAGATTCATCAGTAAATTTTCTTGGATATACACTGCATTAGTGGGATCGTGAGGGCATTATGAGATAAGGACATGACTGCAGCCGGCAATGAGGCCGAAACCAGCACAGCCAGTGTAAGAAGGCTTTGGCTTTTTAATTTTACTTAACATTATTTTATCCATTACACTGAAGAGACCTTTTTGAAGGATATAGTTTTTTTGTTATGTAATTTTGAGGTGTTTATTTTGGTTTTAGAAAATAAATGTGATTTGCTTTTCTCACAAATCAACTCTTTCGTGTTTTTGTTTCATGCGCTCTGTGCCTTGCCCTGGACTTTTATGTCACTTCCTGTCTCCTGTGGTGTTTGTAGTCCGTTTGTTCATTGGTTCCCCTTGATTAGTCTCCACAGGTGTCTTATCTTGTTAAGCTTGTTAGCCCCCTGTGTGTGTGTATATACATATATATATATACACATATACACAGTGGTGTGAAAAGGTTTTTGCCCCCTTCCTGCTTTTTTTTATTTTTTGCATATTTGTCTCACTTAAAAGATTCAGATCATCAAACACATTTTAATATTACACAAAGATAATGCAAGTAAATGCAAAATGCAGTTTTTAAATTATAATTTATTTTATTAAGGGAAAAAAGCTGTCTTTCTTATTGTTGAATCATGAACACTGACCTTAATTGAGGCAAGTGAGGCCTGCAGTTCTTTAGATGTTGTTCTGGGTTCTTTTATGACCTCTTGGATGAGTCGTCGTTGTGCTCTTGGAGTAATTTTGGTTGGCCGGCAACTCCTGGGAAGGTTCACCATTGTTCCAAGTTTTCTCAATTTGTGGATAATGGCTCTGACCGTGGTTCGCTGGAGTCCCAAAGCCTTAGAAATGGCTTTATAATCCTTTCCAGACTGATACATGTCAACTGTTTTGATTCTCATCTGTTCTTGAATTTCTTTAGATCGCGGCATAATGTGTTGCTATTTAAGCATGCTTCACTTTGTCAGACAGGTTCTATTTAAGTGATTTCTTGATTCAACAGGTCTGGCAGTAATCAGGCCTGGGTGTTGCTAGTGAAATTTAACTCAGCTTTCTAAAATAATGTGCTTAATTGCAGTTCTTTCATGATTTAACAGGAGGGGGCAATTCATTTTTCACGTAGGGCCACGTAGGTTTGGACAGCTTTTTGCCCTTAATAAATGAAATCATCATTTAAAAACTGCATTTTGTATTTACTTGCATTATCTTTGTGTAATATTAAAATTTGTTTGATGATCTGAATCTTTTAAGTGTGACATGTAAAAAATAAAAAAAACAGGAAGGGGGCAAAAACCTTTTCACACCACTGTATATATATATAGCCCTAATTTTTTTTTTAGTTCCATGTGAGTTGTCGAATGTAAAGGTGCCATAGAATGGAAAACTGTATTTACCTTGGCATAGTTGAATAATAACAGTTCTGTACATGGAAATGACATACCGTGAGCATCAAACACCATTGTTTCCTCCTCCTTATGTAAATCTTGTGCATGCAAAAGACCACTGAAAAATAGGCGAATCGGAACATAACACAAACTGTGACGTTACAGTTGGGCTCACTAATAGTTACGCCCCCGACATTTGCATATACCCGCCCATGTTCTATGCCAGCCGCCAGCCGAACCTGCACAGCCGAATCATCATAAGTTCTGCAGGTATTGTGAAGAAACAAGCGAGGATAGCGAAAAAGACAGATCATGAAAATAAATGTTATGTTCCAGGCTGTGCAGGGGATGTGATGTGCAGAGATGGGTTGGTGTCTGTATTCAGAAAGGCACGGAAAACAAATAACGCGCGTTCTAATAAAATAACGCGAACCACTAAAGGGACATGGTTAGCTGCTTGCTAATGGTAGCCTGTTACATTGAGCATGTGTGATCGCAAATCTCGAAAGTGAAAGTAAAAAGTGATCATGCATTATGCAGCTCCCTGATGCCCGCATTTTATATACAGTATAATTACCCAACGATATAACTGCGAGAGACAGTATTGAAATATATATTTTCCCTGTGTTTCCTTCCTGCTGTATGAGATATTAAAATGAGCCGCACTGTGAAACACCCAATCAGAGCAGAGCTTAACATTTATTATTCATGACCCTTCCAAATAAGGTAAAAACAGACCGTTTCATTCTAGGGACAAATCCTAGGGCTGTAAATGGACATGTAAAACTGTTTCTGGAGATTTGTTGCCCTTACCTAAGCCACATACCTTCTATGTAGATATCAGAGAACAATTTAAAATATTGTATCAATGCATTTTATGGCACCTTTAAATACCTAAACATAGATCACTGCCTCTGCCTTTTCCCCCAGCTTCTCCACAACATTAGTTTTTCACTGGCATGTCTCTCTGACGACTGCATTTTTTGAGCCTATATTTAGTATAAGTAAAATACTTAAGTACTGTTAAAATCAGATACTCTAAGACTTTTACTCAAGTTGTTTTGGAATGGTGACTTGTAACGTGTAGTGGAGTAATTTTCACTGTAAGATATCTGTACATTTACTCAAGTATGGTTTTTAGGTACTATTTACACCTCTGCTACACAATACTTGTATTTTTGCCTTAGGAACATTGAATGTAACTACTAGCAAGCTGCAATTGTCATACTTGGAGACACATAGGTACAAGTCTGAAACCATGTGTAACAGACATAGACTGAAACGGGTAGTGTCAGGAGCATCAAGAAAGGCCAATCAACTTGACTCAATTTTTACCAACATTTCATTTATGTATGAGTCACCTGAGCACTTGCCCCCTGTTGGCTCTTCTGACCATCAGACCTTCATGATGAATGCTGGTAAATGGCATTCTAAGACCCTTCCCCTTTCCCCTACCCCTACATTTTGCGCGTTCACGTGAAGGGGTAGAGGTGTCTCGATTCTCTTTTGGTTGGAGGGTAGGGGTAAGGGAAGGGACAGATAGCCCTTCAAACAAAGATTTTTCGGGACCATACTTCAAACGAAGGGGAATGAATTATCTCAGCGTAAACCGGCTACAGCGGCAACATGGCTGCCCGAGCTAACAAAAAGACACCTAAATGTAAGCATTTTTGGCATTAATAAAGATTTTAACGAAAAGTAATAATTTGTTTTATGTTACATTTAATCGTGAGTTCATATTTACGTTCATGTTACTCAAAGAAATGTTTTGCAAAAATCACTAAAGTTTGCTAACGTCATATTACAGACTGTACGACAGTGCCACAACATATTTTCATGTCTGATCAGGGCGATAACCACCACAGAAATTGAGGAGGGCTAGTACCCCCAATAATTATAAATCGCTAAACCCTTTTCTCAAATATTGCCAATTCGAGAGAGAGAGAGAGAGAGAGAGAGAGACAGAGAGAGAGAGAGATGAAAGTTGCATGTATGCGGGTCTGTGCGTTTCTCTTTTTAAAGTCAGTTTACTTCAAAAACAGCGATTTTATCCTCTTGTTGCTGGAAAATATAATGTAGCAATTCAGTATTTAAACCGTTATTAATAAAAGTCGTGGGGCAGCGTTGACAAGTTTCTTTGCTCCTGGATGTGTGAGCTGCGCGATATCTGATATCTGTCCCAATTCTTAGGGGAATATTTTCACCCCTACCCCTTGACACTTTGTTTCAAGGGGGAAGGGGTAGGCGGAGGGGTATAAAATAGAATTGGGCCTTGGCATAGTTGAATAATAACAGTTCTGTACATGGAAATGACATACCGTGAGCATCAAACACCATTGTTTCCTCCTCCTTATGTAAATCTTGTGCATGCAAAAGACCACTGAAAAATAGGCGAATCGGAACATAACACAAACTGTGACGTTACAGTTGGGCTCACTAATAGTTACGCCCCCGACATTTGCATATACCCGCCCATGTTCTATGCCAGCCGCCAGCCGAACCTGCACAGCCGAATCATCATAAGTTCTGCAGGTATTGTGAAGAAA